GCTTCCTCCATACAAAGAGCACGACGCGGACTGACAGTGTTGAGAGAACTCCAGTCGTGGCAAAGCGCGCGCAGAAGTACTTGAGAATGGCTAACACCTGAAAACCGGAATGTCTAGGACTTTGACTGGAAGCTAAGCTCTCAATAGTGCGAGTACCGCGAGGTCATCCACTCCTGATAGCCTTAGGTCGCCTACCTACTGTTTATGAAGCAAATGTACTAGGGGATAGGCGCTCGCCGTCGGTTACGGAAACCACCCTTCCCATTCTGCCTTAGGGATCGCTAAAGAGTCCCGCCAGCAGTCACATAGTAGCTAGCGTTGGGCACATAATCAATAGGTCAGGAATTCGAGCTTCAGGTGTTGCAATACCTGCGGTTGGATATGTGTGGCTGATGACGGCTACTAAACCACTTCAGTCTTCCTTATCTTTGTCGGTAACGTTTTTCAACACGTGTGCTGCTAACATGATTTTCGGTCTACTCGCCGCAAATGCTATCTTATTCCCCAAGGAATGTCTGGATCAAGATTAAGCATCCGCTTCTACTTAACGACCAGGAGCCAGATCGGCTGCATCTCACTCAAGACCGATTTCGCGAAGTATCTGTTATCTTCGCCGTCGATTGATGATGCATTCTAGCCACGCTTACTTTTGCTTGTTTTTCTTCCCATATGGCGTTTGTCGTTTTTGCTGGAGGCTTGGATTATCACAAATCGAGGCTCTCTTTTATGTAGAGTAGATGGGCAGATTTTTTCTGTTCCCCTCCCCCCAACATGGCAGGTCCTTTGGACTGATCAAATACAATGACAGCGCTTGAAGCGTGCCGCCAACATGCACTCCTAGCCCCTTTTTAGGATGACGGATTAGGCAGACCAGTATACCACTGCTATCGTCCACGCACGTGCTTTTCATTTACTGGTTAAGATCTGTAATCCACTGCATAGTGCTTCCTCCTTCGCCATAAGAGCTCTGGAATCTCGCACACAGTCGGGTGGGGTTGCGAAAGCCAACCAATCAAACCGTTGATCCCAGGCACTGACCGCTTCTACGAACTCACACACTATAACTAAACACAGTTCCAATCCAAGCGAAACTTTTCCACCTAGCAAGCCGCGGTAAACAGACAGCAAAGCAAGTAT